AACTAATACTGTATCAGAATTTTATATATTTAAACTTCTCATTCAACCACAGTTAAATTCTCTCTATCTAGGAGGCACAGTTTATAGTATTTATTTTTTACAACAAGCTGGAATGAAAACAAGCAAAAAGGAAATAAAAGTAACAACTTTCTACTTCTTGCCTTTTTTTAAAAAATGTAAGGAGTAGAAAGTACAGATAACTGTGTGAAAATGTAAGAAGTAGAAGTAAAATTAGGCTGAAAAAAAATTACTCAAGTAAAGTACAGATACCCAAAAATTCTACTAAGGTACAGTAACTAAGTGTTTGTACTTAGTTACTTTACAACTCTGTTAATCTGCAAACCTTCCCCAGCAGACTCGTCTTCACACGTATAAAAGACCTTATTTTGACCTGTTTAAATATGAAGCCCCTGTCCTCACAGAGCACCGTCTGTACTGTGTTCAGTAAGGTTAGGCTGCAGGAATCTGCCCTTCCTGAAACTCTGCTGCACACTTTCTTTGCTTTGTGATGAATCCGGCTCATTTTCCAGCAGCATTTAGAATGTCACAGACGCGCTCTAATCCTCTCATCGTAGCGTTGTGTCTTCCTCCTGCGGGGACGCCGCTCATGGCTGAAGACTGTCACTGTTGTGATGGCGGTTTGTGTGTTTGTGTACGCACGCGTCGGTGCTCGTGTTTCAAGCGTGCTTGTCATTCCTGCCGGCTCTGTGCATTGTGACAAGTGGCTCGGGTTATTTCAGCCATGCCGTGGGTCACGTAGAGTCAACAGGGGTCACTAAAGGCATTATTGTACTTAGGTGGCAGATTAGTCGTAGACGATAGAACCAGACTCACCGAATCATCCCACGTTGTTCTCAACAAATAACACAAATATTTAGCTGCTTTTACACAAGTTAGTGCCACTGGGAAGAAGTTCTGTTTACGTCAGAGCAGCTTTCATTCTTTGCCAAAGAGATGCAAATCAGATCTAGTTTGTTTTGGCTTTTAGAAGATAACATCAGTGGTGAGTTGTCTGTGAGCTGCGTCTGGAGTTTCTGCAGAGACTCAACTTATTCATCAGCACTTTACTGCTTTTGACTTTTAGGAGAACTGTAAACAATCGAGCTCATCTTGATCACTGTTTAAAATAAAACACACAACCTGGGAAATATAATCAGTGAGGAACAAAATGTTACTTTCTATGTTTTGAACATGTTTTAACAGACATCACGTCACAGCGTACATCAGAGACGAACCTGAAGAGTCAGATCTGATCCGACTTAGTTCAGCTTTAACGACAAACTATGACTATACTTTTTATATGCTACAGGTTGGGACCACTAATTTATCCTGTAAGGTTGTGTGGGTAAATATTTAATGCAGAGGTGTTTAGTAACAAAAAACAGTTACGTTGGATTTACTTAATTTCATTTATTCATTTATTTCATTCATGAAAAACAACAAAAAGTCCATAAAAACACAAAATAAATCAATTACTAAATGGAAGGGAAGCAAAAGGTTTCAGTTTCGATTCTTTAATTTCATTAAAACAAAAATAATTTTATATACAATAAAAAGAAAAATACAGTATAAAAAGAAAAATA